TCAGATCTTGTAGTAAATATAGAAGTACTCAGAACTTGTACTTGAGTAAAAGTAGAATTACTCAGATATTGTACTTGAGTAAAAGTAGAAGTACTGAGATCTTGTACATGAGTAGAAGTAGAAGTACTCAGATCTTATACTTGAGTAAATGTAGAAGTACACATATCTTGTACTTGAGTAAAAGTACTCAGATCTTGTACTTGAGTAAAAGTAGAAGTACTGAGATCCTGTAGTAAAAGTAGAAGTACTCAGATATTGTACTTGAGTAAATGTAGAAGTACACAGATATTGTACTTGAGTAAATGTAGAAGTACTCAGATATTGTACTTGAGTAAATGTAGAAGTACTCAGATCTTGTAGTAAAAGTAGAAGTACTCAGATATTGTACTTGAGTAAATGTAGAAGTACTCAGATCTTGTAGTAAAAGTAGAAGTACTCTATCTGGTACTTGAGTAAATGTAGAAGTACTCAGATCTTGTAGTAAAAGTAGAAGTACTCTATCTGGTACTTGAGTAAAAGTACTCAGATATTGTACTGGAGTAAAAGTAGAAGTACTCAGATCTTGTACTTGAGTAAAAGTATAAGTACCCAGGTCTGGTACTTTAGTAAAAGTAGAAGTACTCAGGTCTTGTAATTGAGTAAAAGTAGAAGTACTCAGATCTTGTACTTGAGCAAAAGTAGAATTATTCAGATCCTGTACTTGAGTAAAAGTATAAGTACCCAGGTCTGGTACTTTAGTAAAAGTAGAAGTACTCAGGTCTTGTAATTGAGTAAAAGTAGAAGTACTCAGATCTTGTACTTGAGTAAAAGTAGAATTATTCAGATCTTGTACTTGAGTACAAGTAAAGATAGCATCAGGATGCAGGGAGTTAACAACGGCAATATTCCTGTGGTTCGTTTCCCTGTCCATTTGCAGAGCATGGTGTGCACGTGCACCTGATTGCCCTCCCCTCCCCCACTCTTACTAAGCCGTGCTGTGAGAAACAGGACAGAGCAGTGATGCAGTGACGCGTCCTAAAACCCGGAAATAAGATGCTGGTTCCCTCACAACGTGATTTCTCCTCCATATGATTTTGGATATGTATGCAGTGTATTCATCTTGTACTTTAGTAAAAGTATAAGTACTCAGATCTGGTACTTGAGTAAAAGTACTCAGATATTGTACTGGAGTAAAAGTAGAAGTACTCAGGTCTGGTACTTTAGTAAAAGTAGAAGTACTCAGATCTTGTACTTGATTAAAAGTAGAAGTACTCAGATCTTGTACTTAAGTAAAATAGAAGTACTCAGATCTGGTACTTGAGTAAAAGTACTCAGATATGTACTTGAGTAAATGTAGAAGTACTCAGATATTGTAGTAAAAGTAGAAGTACTCAGATCTTGTACTTGAGTAAATGTAGAAGTACTCAGATCTTGTAGTAAAAGTAGAAGTACTCAGATCTTGTACTTGAGTAAATGTAGAAGTACTCAGATCTTGTAGTAAAAGTAGAAGTACTCAGATCTTGTACTTGAGTAAATGTAGAAGTACTCAGATCTTGAAGTAAAAGTAGAAGTACTCAGATCTTGTACTTGAGTAAAAGTATAAGTACCCAGGTCTGGTACTTTAGTAAAAGTAGAAGTACTCAGGTCTTGTAATTGAGTAGAAGTACTCAGATCTTGTACTTGAGTAAAAGTAGAATTATTCAGATCTTGTACTTGAGTAAAAGTACAAGTACCCAGGTCTGGTACTTTAGTAAAAGTAGAAGTACTCAGGTCTTGTAATTGAGTAAAAGTAGAATTATTCAGATCTTGTACTTGAGTACAAGTAAAGATAGCATCAGGATGCAGGGAGTTAACAACGGCAATATTCCTGTGGTTCGTTTCCCTGTGCATTTGCAGAGCATGGTGTGAACGTGCACCTGATTGCCCTCCCCTCCCCCACTCTTACTAAGCCGTGCTGTGAGAAACAGGACAGAGCAGTGATGCAGTGATGCAGTGACGCGTCCTAAAACCCGGAAATAAGATGCTGGTTCCCTCGCAACGTGATTTCTCCTCCATATGATTTTGGATATATATGCAGTGTATTCATCTTGTACTTTAGTAAAAGTATAAGTACTCAGATCTTGTACTTGAGTATAAGTACTCAGATCTTGTAGTAAATATAGAAGTACTCAGATCTTGTACTTGAGTAAAAGTACTCAGATCTTGTACTTGAGTAAAAGTACTCAGATATTGGACTTGAGTATAAGTACTCAGATATTGTACTTGAGTAAAAGTATAAGTACTCAGATCTTGTAGTAAAGTAAAAGTAGAAGTACTCAGGTCTGGTACTTTAGTAAAAGTAGAAGTACTCAGATCTTGTACTTGAGTAAAATAGAAGTACTCAGATCTGGTACTTGAGTAAAAGTACTCAGATATGTACTTGAGTAAATGTAGAAGTACTCAGATCTTGTAGTAAAAGTAGAAGTACTTTATCTGGTACTTGAGTAAAAGTAAAAGTACTCAGATATTGTACTGGAGTAAATGTAGAAGTACTCAGAACTTGTAGTAAAAGTAGAAGTACTCTATCTGCTACTTGAGTAAAAGTACTCAGATATTGTACTGGAGTAAAAGTAGAAGTACTCAGATCGTGTACTTGAGTAAAAGTATAAGTACCCAGGTCTGGTACTTTAGTAAAAGTAGAAGTACTCAGGTCTTGTAATTGAGTAAAAGTAGAAGTACTCAGATCTTGTACTTGAGTAAAAGTAGAATTATTCAGATCTTGTACTTGAGTACAAGTAAAGATAGCATCAGGATGCAGGGAGTTAACAACGGCAATATTCCTGTGGTTCGTTTCCCCGTGCATTTGCAGAGCATGGTGTGCACGTGCACCTGATTGCCCTCCCCTCCCCCACTCTTACTTGTAGTAAATATAGAAGTACTCAGATATTGGACTTGAGTATAAGTACTCAGATCTTGTACTTGAGTAAAAGTAGAAGTACTCAGATATTGTAGTACATATAGAAGTACTCAGATCTTGTACTTGAGTAAAAGTATAAGTACTCAGATCTTGTAGTAAAGTAAAAGTAGAAGTACTCAGATCTTGTAGTAAAGTAAAAGTAGAAGTACTCAGATCTTGTACTTGATTAAAAGTAGAAGTACTCAGATCTTGTACTTGAGTAAAATATTAGTACTCAGATCTGGTACTTGAGTAAAAGTACTCAGATATGTACTTGAGTAAATGTAGATGTACTCAGATCTTGTAGTAAAAGTAGAAGTACTCATATCTTGTACTTGAGTAAATGTAGAAGTACTCAGATCTTGTAGTAAAAGTAGAAGTACTCTATCTGGTACTTGAGTAAAAGTACTCAGATATTGTACTGGAGTAAAAGTAGAAGTACTCAGATCTTGTACTTGAGTAAAAGTATAAGTACCCAGGTCTGGTACTTTAGTAAAAGTAGAAGTACTCAGATAGTGTACTTGAGTCAATGTAGAAGTACTCAGATATTGTACTTGAGTAAAAGTAGATCTGTAGTAAAAGTAGAAGTACTCAGATCTTGTACTTGAGTAAATGTAGAAGTACTCAGATCTTGTAGTAAAAGTAGAAGTACTCTATCTGGTACTTGAGTAAAAGTACTCAGATATTGTACTGGAGTAAAAGTAGAAGTACTCAGATCTTGTACTTGAGTAAAAGTAGAATTATTCAGATCTTGTGCTTGAGTACAAGTAAAGATAGCATCAGGATGCAGGGAGTTAACAACGGCAATATTCCTGTGGTTCGTTTCCCCGTGCATTTGCAGAGCATGGTGCACGTGCACCTGATTGCCCTCCCCTCCCCCACTCTTACTAAGCCGTGCTGTGAGAAACAGGACAGAGCAGTGATGCAGTGACGCGTCCTAAAACCCGGAAGTAAGCAACGTGATTTCTCCTCCATAGGATTTTGGATATTTATGCACTGTATTCATGTGCAATGCCTAAATTAGTGAAGTTTACACAGGCACGTGGGGGGGGGGGGGGGGCAGCTCGGGGGATGAGAGGAGTGCATGCAGACACGTGATGTAAAGTCTTGCTTTTACGTAAATTGAAGAACTGAAGTAAAGATCGTCTTGTTTTTTAAACGTATGCACGCCTGGAAATCCCTCTTGTGTCCACGTGTGCAACAAATATTGGAGGCACTGCTGAGGTATTAATGTTTCGCCGTGTCTGTGTGTGACACCAACTCGGACGGAGTTTTCCCCTGACGGGAGCGAGCAGGGCTGGAGCACCGGACGCGCACAGCAGGTTGCAACTGGATCAGCTCAAAGAGGTGTGTGATGAAGCTAAAGTCTCAAGTGGAAATGTCATTACAAGGCGAGCTTTAACAAGACTAATAACAGGATCCGTGGATAATGTAATAAATGATGAAGAAGAGGATATTTCAATGTATCATCTAAGGAAATTGCTAAAACTCATTTAGCAAATAATGAAAAATACTGGCAACAGTGATGATATGGATACAACAGAGAGCAAAGCACAGAACAGCCAGCAAACAGCTGAAGAGTTGAGTTTGGCTGAAAAATATTCACAGCTTCAGCTAAACAGTCAAGCGCTACATGATGAGGTTAGAAGACTGAGAGAGTGAACAGCACACCATTAAGTCAGGCTTTTAGTGCACATGGCACTTCTCTTTGTAAAAGTGGTGTAAATAATACATAATATTATACCTTCTTAGCCAGATAACGTAAGCTAGCTATTAACTTTCTTATTCAATTAAGTTGGGATAACATTAGCTTCAATAAGTTATGTGACAATGGTCATCATTAAACATCAGAATGACTGAACTGACTGAGAACCTGCTAACATTGAAATATCCTGAACAGGATCAGGGTGTAATTAATAATTAAGGCTATTCTTCTGTCTAACAGGTGAGATGGCTGACAATTAAGAAAACAGAGTTCAGTGAGGAATAGACGGCTTGGTCTTCAACAGGATGCCAGGATCACATTTGTAACACACCGTTTAAAGGTAAGTGCTTACAATGTTGCATGTTTTAAATAAACACAAGCAAATAGTGCAAATTAAATCACAATATCTTAATTTATAATCCCAACATTGCTTCCCATGGGAATCTTAACTCCAAAAAGTTACTTTTTACTGGCAGTATTAACATTTAAAGCTAGGGAAAAGCAAAAAGCTATGCAATTATTTAAGATAAGATAATTTTGTAATATTTGGTAACATTTTCTAAATATTCATTCATCAATAAATAAGCCACTTACAAAAGTCAAATGTGAGTGTTTAAAACAAAAGAAACACCATATGCCTGTTACAGACTCTGGGCATCATATAAATGGGCCACATGGAAGTTGAGCATGTTCCCATATAATAATACAAAGTTATCCCAATAACTGTTTTAGTCAAACAGTTATTATTCAGAATAAATCATATATAATTAAATAAGCATCTCTGGGGCCAATTGGGTTATTATTTCTTATTTGTTGACGTCAGTTGTGATGATTTAAACATAACCCTTTGGATGTTTTAATCAAACTTTGTTGATAAACATTTGAATGTAATGTGTCTCAGACACAGGTGAGTGAATATGTAAACATAGCATTCTAACCGGCAACATGACCGTAGTTTATTTATAATAATGTGTAGTCAAATAGATTTCACACTGTTGTCTCCAGCATTGTCTATTGCTGCCCTTAGTCTTTTGGATACTTTTGCAAGGAAAACTATGTGGGAGCAGAGCACATCTTTGTTTTAGTGACTGGAAATGCACTTTAGTGTACACTTGGTTTTAGTTAAAGTTAAAGCCTTTTATTGTCATTATACAAAAAATACAACGAGATTCAGAGTGCAACTCTGTCCCAGTGTGCAAAAGCCGCCGACGGTTTTCTCTGCCATCCTAATCACTCTCTGCAGGGCTTTCTTGTCCGCAGCTGAACATCCAGCATACCACACAGAGATGGAGAATGACAGCACGCTCTCGATGGTCGCCCGGTAGAAGGACACCAGCAGCTTCTTGTTCAGTCTGTTCCTCCGAAGCACCCTCATGAAGTGCAGTCGCTGCTGGGCCTTTTTAACTGCTGCAGTGGTGTGTACAGCTGAGGCTCTCCGAAATTTGAACCCCCAGGAACTTAAAGGTGGGGACCCTCTCCACTCTCTCTCCATTGAGGTGAAGGGGGGCGGGTTCTGGACAGTGTTTTCTGAAGTCTATAATAATAATAATAATTTTTCTTTTTAAATGTTACTTTCAACACTGTATCCAATCCAAGTATGCAAATTATACTACTAACATTCAATCTCTATTTATTTAAGTCTTGACCCCTTGATGCATCTCTTCAAGACAAGTTACTGGGCAAACACCAAACTGCAAGATGAAAACTATTGTCATTGATTGGATCTCTGCCTATTTGCAGAGACAACTCCCCAGAAGAAGAAATAACCTGCAGTTACGGGGATGCTGACTGGCCTTTGCGCAAACAGGTACATTTACACATATAACTCAACAATAACACGTGATTCAACACATTTTATTGTTTCCATCCAAATAATTATAGTACGTGATTAATTTGTTTATTATTGGATAGCTATACCTTTTGAGATCTTCTCTTAGTGCATTCTTGTGTTATAGGTTCATTCTACGTATATTTATACACTTCCTAAGCCTGTGCATGTTTGAAAGGGTCATTTGAAAGCAGTCCATTGCAACCCCTTTTTGATATTGAGGTAATTCAGTAATATGGAGCTGTCTCCACAATATGTTAATGTTGTCCTTTTCAAGAGAGGACCTTTTTAAAAAAAAACTCTTTTCTAATACAGCTTTAATCCTGTTACTAATTGAGTGATTTGTGTAGATCTGACTGAAGAAACTAAATTGAACATATTTTTAGACTAGCTATAATGGGATTTGTTACTTAAACCTGTCACACACACTGGTTTCTAGTCTTGTCCTTATGGGGCCCTCCCGTTTGGTTATAACTTAAAGTAATTTTAAAACATTTATGCAACACCTTTTAGAATCTAAACTCTAGTTGTTGTAGGCGTAAGTTAACACTTTGTGAGCATAAGCATGGTTAAAACGGTTATCATTTACCTTAGCCTCGATGGGAGTAGTTACAAAAACCTGTCATACACACTGGTTTCTAGTCTTGTCCTTATGGGGCCCTCCCGTTTGGTTATAACTTAAAATGAATTAAAAGATTTCTAAAGTACCTTTTTAACATCTAATAGTAGGTCATTGTATGTATAAGTCTACACTTCCTGAGCCTATGCATGTTTGAAAGGGTAATTTGAAAGCAGTCCATTGCAACCCCTTTTTGATATTGAAAAATGTATTGAGACCACAGGACTAAATAATGCCATGCCTTTGTTTTTATCCAAATCCAGTTTCAGATAGTTTGTATCTTCTTAGTGCATTCTTGTTGTATCTCAGTTCCAGGTGACAAACGGGCATACTAATCCAGAGGGAGTTGAGGAGGAGAGGCTCCCCTTAGACTTGACTTTCCCCGAAACATCAACAAGTGACTGTGCTACGACCGAGGTATTTCAGTAATATGGAGCTGTCTCCACAATATGTTAATTTCAAGAGAGGACCCTTTTTTTAAAAACTATTTTCTGATACAGCTTTAATCCTGTTACTAATTGAGTGATTTGTGTAGATCTGACTGAGGAAACTAAATTGAACATATTTTTAGACTAGCTATAATGGGATTTGTTACTTAAACCTGTCACACACACTGGTTTCTAGTCTTGTCCTTATGGGGCCCTCCCGTTTGGTTATAACTTAAAGTAATTTTAAAACATTTATGCAACACCTTTTAGAATCTAAACTCTAGTTGTTGTAGGCGTAAGTTAACACTTTGTGAGCATAAGCATGGTTAAAACGGTTATCATTTACCTTAGCCTCGATGGGAGTAGTTACATAAACCTGTCACACACACTGGTTTCTAGTCTTGTCCTTATGGGGCCCTCCCGTTTGGTTATAACTTAAAATGAATTAAAAGATTTCTAAAGTACCTTTTTAACATCTAATAGTAGGTCATTGTATGTATAAGTCTACACTTCCTGAGCCTATGCATGTTTGAAAGGGTAATTTGAAAGCAGTCCATTGCAACCCCTTTTTGATATTGTAAAATGTATTGAGACCACAGGACTAAATAATGCCATGCCTTTGTTTTGATCCAAATCCAGTTTCAGATAGTTTGTATCTTCTTAGTGCATTCTTGTTGTATCTCAGTTCCAGGTGACAAACGGGCATACTAATCCAGAGGGAGTTGAGGAGGAGAGGCTCCCCTTAGACTTGACTTTCCCCGAGACATCAACAAGTGACTGTGCTACGACCGAGGTATTTCAGTAATATGGAGCTGTCTCCACAATATGTTAATTTCAAGAGAGGACCCTTTTTTAAAAAACTATTTTCTGATACAGCTTTAATCCTGTTACTAATTGAGTGATTTGTGTAGATCTGACTGAGGAAACTAAATTGAACATATTTTTAGACTAGCTATAATGGGATTTGTTACTTAAACCTGTCACACACACTGGTTTCTAGTCTTGTCCTTATGGGGCCCTCCCGTTTGGTTATAACTTAAAGTAATTTTAAAACATTTATGCAACACCTTTTAGAATCTAAACTCTAGTTGTTGTAGGCGTAAGTTAACACTTTGTGAGCATAAGCATGGTTAAAACGGTTATCATTTACCTTAGCCTCGATGGGAGTAGTTACATAAACCTGTCACACACACTGGTTTCTAGTCTTGTCCTTATGGGGCCCTCCCGTTTGGTTATAACTTAAAGTCATTTAAAAACATTTGTGCAACACCTTTTGGAATCTAAACTCAAGTTGTTGTAGGCGTAAGTTAACACTTTGTGAGCATAAGCATGGTTAAAATGGTTATCATTTACCTTAGCCTCGATGGGAGTAGTTACAAAAACCTGTCACACACACTTGTTTCTAGTCTTGTCCTTATGAGGCCCTCCCGTTTGGTTATAACTTAAAATGAATTAAAAGATTTCTAAAGTACCTTCTTAACATCTAATAGTAGGTCATTGTATGTATAAGTCTACACTTCCTGAGCCTATGCATGTTTGAAAGGGTAATTTGAAAGCAGTCCATTGCAACCCCTTTTTGATATTGAAAAATGTATTGAGACCACAGGACTAAATAATGCCATGCCTTTGTTTTGATCCAAATCCAGTTTCAGATAGTTTGTCATTTAGCTAACTTCAGCAACTAATGATTATATGCATGGTTACTACCTTCTTAGTGCATTATTTTTGTATCTCAGTTCCAGGTGACAAACGGGCAGACTAATCCAGGGAGGGAGTTGAGGACGAGACGCTCTCCTTGGAACTTTATGTCTACATAAGCATCAAACAGTGACTGTGCTACTACCGAGGTAATTCAGTAATATGGAGCCGTCTCCACAATATGTGTATTCTTTCCTTTTCACTATGTACCAAGATAAGACCTTTTACATTTTACAATGTTTACATGTATTATTATGTACATTTAAGTAAGTATTCTGTCTGTAATAAATTAAGTGTATTCATTTACTCTGCAACATAGACATTTTCAAGTATTTGCCTTAGATGTCACAAACTACACTGGAGCAGGACTGTAAATGAGCCACACGGACATCTTCTGGAATACCATTTTGCAACTTTGATAAATTCTATAAATTATGCCAGACGCTAGTTTGTATCTGCACAATGAATGGGAGCTTACAGATAAATTGACCAATCACTTTGTTGATAATCAAACTCTTAGTATCAAACAAAATGGTGTGTCTGATTGTGATGGAATAAAGTGATCAGAAGGTGTCGCACCATTAACATTCTTTCAGATCTGCAATATGGGTACTTTTTAAATGTTTTATAAGATTCTTAACTGTATGATAATAACTGGCTCTTAAACTTCTTAAACCTATGACATGTTATTATTTGTCCACCTAGGGAAACAAACGTTTGTGAAACGCAGCTGGACGTCAGCAGAAAGTGCTGCTGTGGAACAACACTTGGGTTATGAAATGGACAATCAAGAACCAGGTTCCAGGGAAAGATGCATGTGAGGATTGTATCCCTGCCGAACCTCAAGCCCTAACAAATAGGGACTGGGGAGCCGTTAAGTATTACATGAACATTTCAATTTCTTCTCTCCGAATGTAAATGAAATAAAATTGAACCAAGGAAAAATACGTTCAATGTTGAAAGAAGGGTTTCAAGTACCACTACCAAAACTAGGGGTTTTACCTAAACCAAACCAAATTTTCATTTTTGAATCGTCAACTAATATAAATTAAAGGGAAATCAATTGCATTCCGATTATGCTGCTAGAAAGAATCATCCATGTTTTTAAAGATTTCCTTTTTTGCTTTTAGGGTTTTCCCTCTCCTGTAGTGTAGAAAATATCTTTTTGTGCATGTAAATGTTTTTCAAAGTCTAAAATCCCTCATTGAAGCATGGAAACATTTCACAGGAGAGAAACTTTATACAAATTTGAACCTCAAAATGACCAGAATATGTCATTGTTAAATGTAACTCAAAAGGAGGTAAAAGTCTACTGATTTGTTAGGCCTGTTTGTTTTGTTTTTTGGGTCATGGGATTGGTCAAGTTGTACATTTTGTTTTAACGATATAGAAACACCCCAATAATATACAAATCAATATTTATAGCATTAAAATAATGTTGTAGAGAGTTTATATGAATTATACTTTTTTCTCAAGAATTACTAATTGTTGCCTCTAAGAAAAAACAATGTTGAACGAAAAGGATCTTTAGGGGATTATTGATTTGGTCTCCATGGTGTTTCAATGTTACTGCCATGTCTACTGTCTAGTTATATTCTATGTTAAGATGAGGCTAATCACCTAAGTAATGACTTATTTTACCAGCAATGTGAATTTGTTGGTGTAAAAAATATCAGAGTAGAATGTAAATGTTCATGATGCTGTTCTGCAGTTTCTTTGGTAACAAGGAAAGTCCATTCAACTCAATAATGTCTCTAGTAACTCTGATCCCTTCCAAGATATGAAAACTAGAAATATGTGTGTGTCTGATCCCTTCCAAGATATGAAAACTAGAAATATGTGTGTGTGTGTGTATAATGGACCTCATAAGTGCTGACTGCTAGAAACTGGGCCCCACTAAGTGGGTAAAAAACTAGCATAATGACAAAAGCTTGGAATTATGTTTATTTCAAGTGATTTTTGTGATTCTAGTTTTTTTTCTATATTGCCTGATTTTTTTACGGAGGTCTAGTATAATTGGAAAGGGTGGACCCCACAATTGGGTAAAATCAGTTCGGGCCCCACAATTGAGTTGTGTGTGTGTGTGTGTGTGTGTGTGTGTGTGTGTGTGTGTGTGTGTGTGTGTGTGTGTGTGTGTGTGTGTGTGTGTGTGTGTGTGTGTGTGTGTGTGTGTGTGTGTGTGTGTGTGTGTGTGTGTGTGTGTGTGTGTGTGTGTGTGTGTGTGTGTGTGTGTGTGTGTGTGTGTGTGTGTGTGTGTGTGTGTGTGTGTGTGTGTGTGTGTCCCAGCCAGTGATTGCAGCTTGCCAGACCCCCTGACTGTAACTCAGGATTGGTGTGTGTCGGAGCGTGAACATGCTCTGTGAGTAAATAAATAAATGTAGCTGTCGCTCTAAAGCGGCGGTGGGACAAAGGGGCCGTTAGCTTTCTGACAGCCCACACAAAGACCCTCTGGCCCCCACGTGCGGCCATGCAGGAGCGGGCTACTCCCTCACGGCCAGGCTTTAGTCTACTTACCAGCATTGTGAACGTGGATATGTTGAGTACCCCAACGTTTTACGAGATAAATATATAGTACGGGTCCCTGGAACATAGAAACTGCCGGATGCTAACTCGCATATGTTGGGCAATTAGCACGATTAGCATAAGTTGTGTTAATTAGCTTATGTAGACGATATACATTATATTTGCTACTGGAAATTTGTATTTGTATTTCCACTAACCCTATTTCAGAAATATTTTGGACTGTTTATTTCTAGTGTCTTCATTTCTCTTATGTACATTGCCTTGTTTTTTATGCTGCTGCAACACAAACATTTCCCAAATTAGGATCAATAAAGTACTTTACTACTATCTATCTATGAGCAAAAAATTGCTTGGACGATTATGGTGTGTTTTCCAAGGTAAATTGAGGATGTTGAATACATTTCTGACATGTTATGGGTAAAGAATGGCAGTTTTGAGACCCCTAAAACCTTAAAAAGGACGTAAAACTCATCAAAATCAGCCCACTTGGCGTACACATATTACCTTGATTGATACATTTTCTGACATGTAACTAGTTATTGAAACGGATTACAATTTAAAAATAACCCTCCCAACCCATCCTCGTCCCATTGAAAGGCCTAATCCAGCCCTCAACTGGTGGTGTGGGGGAGGGGAGGGGAAAGCTGTGAATGTTAAAACACTCGGTGGGAATAAAAGAGAGACGAGTGAAAGGGAGGAGAGAAGAAAGGAGGGGGGTGAGAGGAGAGAAAGTGAAGAGGGTTTGAGACACCGTAAATCTAACGGCCACATGGAAATGACCGACCACACACATACACACACACACACACACACATTAGCACACACACATTATCTACAAACAACACACTCCCAGTCCTTGGAGACCAGACTGGTATGTGTGTTTATACGAGCTGTCGGGGTGCGCTGATGGTAAAAGTTCAATGTTAAAGCTCTGCAATCCCCCCCAATACACGCGCGCACACACACACACACACACACACACACACACACACACACACACACACACACACACACACACACACACACACACACACGTACCCTCTGCCGAGATAAATTGGGCAACAGGAGAGTATTTCGGAAACCATTGCAAATTTGTATTTGGCAGCTATGTTGCAACATAAAATATAAGAATCATTATGAACACTAATATATTAAATATTTCTATTATGTATTCTGGAGTCCAATACAATTCACTGACCATGTTTTCTACATATTAACATGCACTGAAAAAACTGAAACAGTGACTTTAATTAAATGTATTATGTCCACAGATTTCACATAACTGTATCAGGTTAGTTGAAAGCAATAATATGAAGTTGAACCTACTGTTGTTTATTGCTTTCAACTAACCTAATACAGTTATGTGACATTTGTTGACATAATACATTTAATTAAAGTCAGCTTTTCAGTGTTTTCAGAGTAACTTCATCGTCATGTAGAAACAAGCTGTGAGGCTTTCACCAAGATTTTTCTCGACTTTAAGAATATTTGAAAATCTTAAATTATTCATATTTTTGTGAATTATTGAGTCGGGATGAATTACTTCACATGCAAATACACTTTCAAATGCATTTCTTTAAATAAATGATTGCCTTTTTTCTGCTGTGTTCACAAGCTAATAAAGCCGTAGCATTTGTTTTCTGTTTTCCTAAAACCCGAGGAGTGAGGGGAGTTCACACAAAGTGATGAGGCAGAAGAAAAGAGTGCTGAGGAGCGAGAGATGAAGGGAGGAGAGGAATGAGGAGGCTGTCCATGACGGTACCAGACACAGGCCTGATTAATGGACACCTGGTTGTGCAGCGTGGCATGCTGGGTAAAGAAAGGGAGTGCGAGGTTACAGTAGAGGTGAAGGCGAGGGGCTCTTTATCAGGACAGTGATGAAATGCTTGGCTTTAGAGGGTGCTCCCCGATGGAAACTTCCACATGCCAGCCGTGCCTGGCCTTTAAAAACATAAAAATGCATCTGGTCGAAACACATGGTTCATAAAAAGGCTGCTTTAGATCTTCAGAAATGCTCCAGGGAGGTCAGAAGTGAGAGGGGAAACATCCAGAGGGTTGAAACAGAATAAGGAACGACTGGGAATCACAGGTGTCTTTGCAAAGTGTTTTTCCTCTACATCAGGGGTGTCAAATTCAATTTCATCGCGGGCCACATCTGCATTATGGTTGCACTCAAAGGGCCGGTTGTAACTTTAAGACTATATAAAAATACATAAATATTTAATATATATAAAATAATGTACTATATTACATTAATGTCTCTGCATTGGATTATTATCAGATAGGGTAATAACTTCATAATTAACTACGTCTGAAAGCAGAAGTCTAGGGCCAATAATTGCAAGTCTCTTCGGTGAGAATGTCACAAAATGATTTGAAAAGAAAAGCCAAATTCTGGAAAAACAAAAAAAAGAAGTGACATTTTGAAATAAAAATCCAATTCTGAGAAAAAAAGTCTAATTTGAGATGCATTGTGGGACATGTAGTTTATGGGCAACGTGCTTCTGCAAAGTATCATGTAACCGTATAATAAACATATTATATTCTTTGCAAGCTCTTGTGGGGCCACAGAAAATGAAGTCAGGGGCCGGATTTGGCCCCCGGGCCTTGAGTTTGACACCCCTGCTCTATGGCATCAAATCTGCTTTAAATGCAAAAAGGCCACGCCAACAACAAATCAAACTTATTGCAGACCATTCCCCAAGACAAAACGACTGAGCAAACTCCATTAATTAACAATGTTGAATGATAAAATAGTAAGTTCCTCCGAAAATACAGAGACTGGAATAATTTAAAAGTAATTTATCGTTTAACTTTTCTTGAATTACATCTTTTAACCCAAACTCTCTTTTTGAGGTGAATTAACATCTGTTGGCCGTTTAGGGAACTCAACACTTAATAACAAGACTGAACCCATGTTAACAGGTTCTATTGTTTTTGTTTGTTTTTCCTGATAAGACCTGTTAGCAAACCACTTGGCAATCAATCAATGGCAGCTAAAGATTGAAGTCACCACGAGTCATTTGGTTGAAGCAAGATACTGGCTTTTGTTCTTTTTGTTTGCAGTGCAGATCACTTGATCTAAATCATTATAAGTCATAATCTTTATTTATGCAGACATCAAGAATGTCTCTACACAGTGTTTTGTCATATCATCTAAATAAGGTTTGCTGGTATACTTTGAAAATGTTTTAATGACATTTCTATAATATCCAAAATCCTCACAACTGTTGTCAGCAATATCTGGCAATTGGTGTAAAGATCTTGTGGTTTCGTGGCTTTAAGTCAGGGGGGTCAAACTCAATTTCATCCCGGGCCACATCAGCATTATGGTTGCACTCAAAGGGTCGGTTGTAATTTTAATTATATAAATATACATATGTAAATATATAATATATATTAAATAATGTATTATATTACATTGTTGGCCCTGCATTGGATTATTATCAGTTCTGGTAATATCTTCCTAAATAACTACGTCTGAAAACAGAAGTCTAGGGCAAATCATTGAAAGTAAATATTCAACAATTACACCAATATATTATATTCTTTGCAAGCTCTTGCGGGCCACATAAAATGAGGTCGCGGCCCGGATTTGGCCCCCGGGCCTTGAGTTTGACACCCCTGCTTTAAGTGAGTCTTTTTTGTTATGCAACTGCTTTTTCCACTTTGCTAAGGACTGCTATATTTCCCTAAATCTCCTCGGCCTGTTTCTCCACCAGGATTTGGATGAAAAGCCTCGAGGCCGTCTCCTGCCGCCACGCCCTGCTTGGGAACTGGGATGTTGATATAGTTTTTTTCCCTCATCTATTGTTCTCGCATGTACGCCAGCCAGCGCAGACACCAGTCCAGAGTGCCAAGCCTGCTGTTATCTTGTAGGAAACGGACAAGTCGTGAACCTGCAAAACGCAGCAGAAAGACGGTCTGCGTCGGGGGAGGAAGTCCTGGAGACGACTGATAACTGAGGACGCTGCTGCCTCCTTCCTGGTGTCCAGGTTCCTCTTGAACTATTTTAACACTGACTGACTTCACTCTCTAGCATCTGAAGACTCTCTTCAGCAGCTTCTATTGACGATGTTCCGGTGTATATCAGTATGTAGTGTCTCTACTTTAAAGAGTCCTCTCCTGCTGATGTGCAGGTGTATATCAGTATGTAGTGTCTCTAATTTAAAGAGTCCTCTCCTGCTGATGTTCAGGTGTATATCAGTATGTAGTGTCTCTAATTTAAAGAGTCCTCTCCTGCTGATGTTCAGGTGTATATCAGTATGTAGTGTCTCTACTTTAAAGAGTCCTCTCCTGCTGATGTTCAGGTGTATATCAGTATGTAGTGTCTCTACTTTAAAGAGTCCTCTCCTGCTGATGTTCAGGTGTATATCAGCATGTAGTGTCTCTACTTTAAAGAGTCCTCTCCTGCTGATGTTCAGGTGTATATCAGTATGTAGTGTCTCTACTTTAAAGAGTCCTCTCCTGCTGATGTTCAGGTGTATATCAGTATGTAGTGTCTCTACTTTAAAGAGTCCTCTCCTGCTGATGTTCAGGTGTAGATCAGTATGTAGTGTCTCTACTTTAAAGAGTCCTCTCCTGCTGATGTTCAGGTGTAGACTCAGTATGTAGTGTCTCTACTTTAAAGAGTCCTCTCCTGCTTATGTGCAGGTGTATATCAGTATGTAGTGTCTCTACTTTAAAGAGTCCCTCTCCTGCTGATGTTCAGGTGTAGATCAGTATGTAGTGTCTCTACTTTAAAGAGTCCTCTCCTGCTGATGTCAGGTGTATATCGTATGTAGTGTCTCTACTTTAAAGAGTCCTCTCCTGCTGATGCTCAGGTGTATATCAGTATGTAGTGTCTCTACTTTAAAGAGTCCTCTCCTGCTGATGTGCAGGTGTATATCAGTATGTAGTGTCTCTACTTTAAAGAGTCCTCTCCTGCTGATGCTCAGGTGTATATCAGTATGTAGTGTCTCTACTTTAAAGAGTCCTCTCCTGCTGATGTGCAGGTGTATATCAGTATGTAGTGTCTCTACTTTAAAGAGTCCTCTCCTGCTGATGTTCAGGTGTATATCAGTATGTAGTGTCTCTACTTTAAAGAGTCCTCTCCTGCTGATGTTCAGGTGTATATCAGTATGTCGTGTCTCTACTTTAAAGAGTCCTCTCCTGCTGATGTTCAGCTGTATATCAGTATGTAGTGTCTCTACTTTAAAGAGTCCTCTCCTGCTGATGTGCAGGTGTATATCAGTATGTAGTGTCTCTACTTTAAAGAGTCCTCTCCTGCTGATGTTCAGGTGTATATCAGTATGTAGTGTCTCTACTTTAAAGAGTCCTCTCCTGCTGATGTTCAGGTGTATATCAGTATGTAGTGTCTCTACTTTAAAGAGTCCTCTCCTGCTGATGTTCAGGTGATTCCCAGTCTGCTCTGATTGGTTAGCTGGCCGGCTCTGTTGTGATTGGTCAACTGCTTAGAGATGTCCCGCCCCTTAGCCTATCACGTACAATGTGTTGGAACGCTAGCCAATAGAAGCACGGGTGTTACATAGTGATGTCACTACAGTATGTTAAGGAAATAAACAAAGGGAAACTCCCTCTGGGGGGAAATGTGGGATTGTAAGCCTCTGCAGACCATTTACATGCACTAAAAGCTATATAACACACTACAGGAAAGGAGTAGTTTGGCATTTTCGTTGCTATTCTACCACTGTTGTACGAGAAACCTTCTTGAGTAATTCTCAAATGAACAGTATGTAGGTAATTCTACTAGATAAGATAAGGCAAACACATAAAAACAAAACTGTGGTTTACTGTAACTACAGCCGGCAGACTAGGCGCAGTTACTTCCTGAAATCTTGTCATCACCGTGACGATCAGCTGTAATTTCAGGAAGTCGCTGCGCCCATACAGTCAGGAGAAACAAATCCTAAAGACCCGTGGAGAACAAGATCCAAGATGAGGTCATTCTGAATCATTTCAGGGGGTTTGTGGCGCTCGGGAAAATGTATTCACGTTTTTAAAAGCTGGTTATTTTCGAATACATGGTGTATGGGGAAAACAATGATCCTGGACTGGAGGTTACATTGAGTTTTACCATAAGTTTGTACATTTCTGTGGTCTCTTTTGCACATTTGATGTAAAGTAATCAAGTTAGAAATACACAATCACCTTTATTAGTCCCACAGGGGGGGGGGATATTAAATAAGAGGCTTACTTAATAGTTTGAACAGCTTGTTAGTAGTCTAATTGCTATATTGTTAAGGAAACCCTCCCAAACTATGAAATCCCTGAAGTCTTTTAAAGTCTGATTAAAAGTGATCAGGTATAATACAACTAAATCACTCACTAAGATCTCAAAGTGTACAAAAAGGCTTCTCGATTACACTCTCAAAGTACATGTTCACTTCACAGCGAGGCTTTCACCCTCTTTGGGATAACATTCTGTCAAACACACCGACACAGATAGTTCACACGCTCCAAAAAGTGTCAGGCTTTTATTTGTTTTTTAAAGAATAAAGTGCTGACTTGAGTTTAGAAGAAGTGTCACATGTCTTTTTCTCATACTCCCAAAAATAAAAGCCCCCCGCCTGAATCCACACACTGTATAGAGAGCGGCAGGTGCATAATTAAAGAAAAACACTTTCCTCGCCTCTCAGACTGGAGGGGGGGCACTTCATTATTCTGTGTGTGTGTGTGTGTGTGTGTGTGTGTGTGTGTGTGTGTGTGTGTGTGTGTGTGTGTGTGTGTGTGTGTGTGTGTGTGTGTGTGTGTGTGTGTGTGTGTGTGTGTGTGTGTGTGTGTGTGTGTGTGTGTGTGTGTGTGTGTTGGAGGGGCAGATGTTTTACTTTCTATCACCGTCCCATAAACCCTTTCCTACAGATTTCCCTCAGCAGCGGTAAGCTTCCCAGACTCGATCAGAGACACAGAAGAAAAGAAACTAAGAGCGCGGCTCAACGCAGACGATTTCACTCCATTTAATTATGACACAAATGAGTGCACAAAGAAGCACGACGGAGACAAAAAGCCTCCGAGCGGCAGCAGCACGTTTCAAGTTTGGCATCAACTGAGGCTTTTTGTCTTCTATTTGCTTCTAAGAGCCTGAATGTGTCCACAAGTTGATAAGACATTCTTGCATTAAACTCCCATCTATTGGGTATACTAGATTTCGTATGCATTTCAACACTGAAGTCAAACTTCAGACTTCATCTGACCATTAAAGTATTATCGTACCGTATCTTATCCTAAAATTGTCATGTGGAAAGTATGAGCACAAACTTTTTTAACAATGTTTTCATCTCTATGTGACATACACCTAGATATCAGTAGTTAACGATCATATTGCATGTGCTGTATGGCTATACTCACACACTGTACACTAAATCCACAGTTAAAGTTAACGACTGATCTAAATGTAATCATGGACCTGGATACAAACTATTTGTGCAGTAATTGAAACTGACCAACACTTTAAACACAATCTCATCATACTTAATGTAAAAAAAGCAACGTTTTAAAGAGTTCTTTTAGTGTAAATAGCCTATTTAAATATCGTTTGATCCAGGAAAAGGCGGGACATATTACCAGTGAACTCAGAAAATAATGTATGTGACAGATATACTGTAGTTGCGAGACACTTTAATGAGGGTTTAAAACACTTTATAATCTAATCAAATGCAAAGTCATATATTTAAGCAGTGATTTTGTAAGATTGGGTCATCACATGAAGAAATACTGCATGTTTGAATTAGCAGGGTTCTAAAACCCCTTCAAATAATCCAGTCCTGAAGCAACTCAGACGGGTCGCAGCCCCCCAAACACTCTCTGAACACCAAGAGCGTAACAATTCAATTCGCTCCACCAGCTACAACATGATGCTTACACTGAACGAGTATAAATCCAACAACATGATACAGAAACACAGCTATACAACGTTTTTAAAATGTCATGCTCCTTAATTTTCGTTCTCTACTAGAACTAGGATTATACTAGTCATAACATTGTTCACTAGCAATACAAATCTGGCCGTATAATATTCAATATCAATACTATTTGTCTGTTCTGTATTTGATAGATAGATTGAACGTATTGTCATTACACAGTACAGGTAACATGTAACGAAACGGTTTCTCTGCATTTGACCCATCCTAGTGTTAGGAGCAGTGTGCTGCCATTATGTACGGCGCCCGGGGAGCAGTGTGGGGAACGGTGCCTTGCTCAGGGACACCTCGGTAGCACTTGGTCTTTCCGGGACTTGAACTGGTGACCTTCCAGTTGCCAAGCCAAGTCCCTATCGACTTCGCCACCACCGCCCCCATTTGTTATACTGATGTTGTACTTTCTTTAAGATTTGTATATGTAATGCATGACTTTAATACATTTTAAGAGTACTTCTACTGTTGATACAGAGGCTACATTATAAACAGTACATGTTAAAAGACTTATTTGTACTGAAATACTTAACTTTTACTCATACTGGAGTACATTAAGTGTGTGTGCACCTGTTTGCTCTCTTCTGTGTAATGTCCTAACATCCTATAGTATCTTCTAGAGTACGACTACTACAGCAATCACACAGAGAACGCACCCTAACTCCACAGGTGAACGTGCACTTTCAAATATTTGTACTCACTGAGAGAAAGCAGCAGCCACGTGATCCTCATCGCTGCTCGCATGCTGTTGCTGTCCACTTTTCTCCTGATGTAGAGATCCTTACCAACGATCCTCACTAAACCCGACGAGTCTGAGTCCTGTCACGCCTTTCTCCTTCTATTTCTATCTCAAGTAAAAAGATCTCACCAGGCGTATTGTTCACTTTTTTCTTCTTCCCTTAAACTGAAAGCCAAGAATGCTTTTGTGTGTGTCTCTGCTGCTTCTTTCTCTGAGCAGAGCTGGAGATTTGGGGGTAGAGTGTGTGTGTTAGTGAGTGTGTGTCTCCCTCTCCCTCTCTCACTGGTCTGATGCTGAGTTAAAGAGCTGTGTGTGTGTGCACTACCTCCCTTATCATGAGGAACCAGGGGCAGAGCCAGTCCTCTCCAATCCCAGCGCTGTGGACTCACTGCTGCTACCGGGACGTTTTGAATAACAAAGGAAGCCGTGAGACAATGTGTTCCCCCTGCTTTGGATTCATTCCTAAAACGGTCCATGACTCAAGGACGCAGGGTGAAGTCACACAGATCTGATGGTGTTTGATCAAGGGAAAGGCCCGTTTAGATCGAGGAGTCAGCATGTCTTCAGGTTAACTTGGGAGGGTTACTTTAATGTACTCTGTTACAATTACTAGCTACCGGAACATATGTAATTAGTAATCTGAGTATCACAATATTAATGTAATGTAACCAGATTACTTTCTGTTACTTTTGGATTTCAATACAAAGAAGTATGGTTTTTCTATGTTTTTAACTAACATAGTAATGTGACATTAATCAGGTTACATTTATTTATTTAAATTTTTTTTTTAATTCCAATTTTTTTTTTCAATTTTTTTTTTCTTTTGTTCTTCCATTAAAAAAAATAAAATTGTTCCACTTATATATTTTCTTTCTTCCTTTTTTTCTATCTCTTTCTTTCTTTCTTGATAGGCATATGTCACAGGAGAAATCCAATGCAAACTAGGGCTGCTCGATTTTGGCAAAAATCATTATCTCGATTATTTGGGTCAATAATTGAAATCACGATTATTAAAAACAATTATCCGTTTACTTTGAAATCATCCATTTATTGAAAAAGAAAATGTGAACAGTATGTTTTTAACAGTTGATTACCCTGAACGCCAAGTATAATTCAACTGAAAAACCAATATAAAAAAAATAATCGTTTTATTTCGATTATGTTGTTTTCATAATCGTTGCAAGCCAAAAATCGTAATTGCGATTAAAATACGATTAATTGAGCAGCCCTAATGCAAACCATCACATATATAACCAACCAGTTTTATTAAAGCCATCCTAGTTGTGTCTTTCCATATTCTGGTAACTCTACATCACATGTGTCAAACTCGAGGCCCGGGGGCCAAATCAGGCCCTTGGTGGATTTAATTTCGGCCCGCAGGATAATTTCTAATTCCTATTAGATCTGGCCCGCCAGTATATTGCACGCACACCTTCACTCCATCCTGAGGGTCTCCTCCGCTCAGAGCCTGAGCCCAAACATTGATGACCTTGCACCCGAGATGAGATGCCAAGTATCTGAACTCGCATCACAGAGCAGCAACCTGAGTTTAATGGATGTTTCCTTCTGTGGAAAAATGTAATCATAAGGAAATGACTCTGGAAAAGCTGCAGATAGAGCCATAAGAAATGAATGCAACTGATTATTTAATGTTGTTATTATAGGCAATCATTGAAGCTTTGTTAGTTCCAGGTTTAATATGTGCAATAAGTTCATTTCAATAAGTTTTGCAATAAACATTGAACCAGTCCGGCCCTCGACTAGTACCCATTTTTTATTGTTGGCCCACTGTATATTTGAGTTTGACACCCCTGCTCTAATTGATGGATATGAATTCATTCCTTTCCCATTACCCAACAATGAGTTAATTTACTCTAGAAACGGGCACATTGGTCCAGCTGGCGTTGTGTTTGGCTTTTGGATTAAAGTCGGCCAGCAGACTGTTGCCCTGCAGAAACCCCTCAAATTGACTCAGTCGCTTGTAGCCATGACGACGATGTTCACGAACGTCCCAGGAATTGCTTTCATGGCACTTCTACTCTGCCTCCATTCACTGAGCTCCAAATATCCCTCGACTGACACATCAGATCCTTCTCTGAAATACGACAACAACAAACAATTTTTTGCTATCCAATTGCTATCGTGATGGCAGCAGCTCCACTGGCGGCTGATAGGAAATGTGGGAACAAATAGCAGAGATAGCATCAGGGGTGTGGAGGTGTTCCTGGGTGTTTCCTGCCTCTGGAACAGTTAGGAGTCATTAATAACACGAGGCCGAGATTCAAAGACATCAGGAGTCACGCTCGGACTCCAACATGTCCTTTGATTGCTGGGTATTTGTTTTATCATGTTTTGTGAGAAATGAAACTCAAACTACCGCCTCAGCAGGATAAGCTTCAGTTTAGACCAATCTGTCCAGACTCAAAGGATATGTAGTGGAGACTTTGAAGGATTTTCTTAAAAATAAGACATTTTTGAAAATGGAAATTAACACAATGACATATTTTAAATAACTGCAAGTAAGAAAGATGCTGCTTTTGGGGGTTTCCCCTCTCCTGTAGTGTTTATAGGTTTGTGTGCATGTAAATGGAGTCCCCCCTCCTTGTATTGTCTCCATTCAACTCCTTTGTTTACTTCTGGAACATAGTGACATCATTATGTAACACTCGCTCTCCTATTGGCTAGCGCTCCAACACATTGTACGTGATAGGCTAAGGGGCGGGGCATCTCTAATCAGGTTGACCAATCACAACAGAGCCGGCCAGCTAACCAATCAGAGCAGACTGGGCTCTGGTTTCAGACAGAGGGTGAAAAGAGGTGCTGCAGCACAGGCAGTATGAAAAGAATAAAGAGCTTTTTGAACATTAAAGCATGGAGACATGTAGAGACACTACATACTGATATACACCTGAACATCAGCAGGAGAGGACTCTTTAAAGTAGAGACACTACATACTGATATACACCTGAACATCAGCAGGAGAGGACTCTTTAAAGTAGAGACACTACATACTGATATACACCTGAACATCAGCAGGAGAGGACTCTTTAAAGTAGAGACACTACATACTGATATACACCTGAACATCAGCAGGAGAGGACTGTTTAAAGTAGAGACACTACATACTGATATACACCTGAACATCAGCAGGAGAGGACTCTTTAAAGTAGAGACACTACATACTGATATACACCTGAACATCAGCAGGAGAGGACTCTTTAAAGTAGAGACACTACATACTGATATACACCTGAACATCAGCAGGAGAGGACTCTTTAAAGTAGAGACACTACATACTGATATACACCTGAACATCAGCAGGAGAGGACTCTTTAAAGTAGAGACACTACATACTGATATACACCTGAACATCAGCAGGAGAGGACTCTTTAAAGTAGAGACACTACCTACTGATATACACCTGAACATCAGCAGGAGAGGACTCTTTAAAGTAGAGACACTACATACTGATATACACCTGAACATCAGCAGGAGAGCACTCTTTAAAGTAGAGACACTACATACTGATATACACCTGAACATCAGCAGGAGAGGACTCTTTAAAGTAGAGACACTACATACTGATATACACCTGAACATCAGCAGGAGAGGACTCTTTAAAGTAGAGACACTACATACTGATATACACCTGAACATCAGCAGGAGAGCACTCTTTAAAGTAGAGACACTACATACTGATCTACACCTGAACATCAGCAGGAGGGGACTCTTTAAAGTAGAGACACTACATACTGATATTCATCTGAACATCAGCAGGAGAGGACTCTTTAAAGTAGAGACACTACATACTGATATACACCTGAACATCAGCAGGAGAGGACTCTTTAAAGTAGAGACACCACATACTGATATACACCTGAACATCAGCAGGAGAGGACTCTTTAAAGTAGAGACACTACATACTGATATACACCTGAACATCAGCAGGAGAGGACTCTTTAAAGTAGAGACACTACATACTGATATACACCTGAACATCAGCAGGAGAGGACTATTTAAAGTAGAGACACTACATACTGATATACACCTGAACATCAGCAGGAGAGGACTCTTTAAAGTAGAGACACTACATACTGATATACACCTGAACATCAGCAGGAGAGGACTCTTTAAAGTAGAGACACTACATACTGATATACACCTGAACATCAGCAGGAGAGGACTCTTTAAAGTAGAGACACTACATACTGATATACACCTGAACATCAGCAGGAGAGGACTCTTTAAAGTAGAGACACTACATACTGATATACACCTGACAATTACAAGAATAGGGCCTTTTAACTTACAAACTATATTGTATAAGAGCAGACGGCAGAGAGCTTGGTCACATGGTGCAGCGACAATCACCTGAGGAAAAAAAAGGGATCATTGTGGTCTGACTTAGTGTAAAATATTTTAACTGGTTTTAGCCTTGTCCGTCAATTAGTGGTAAAATCATTTTTAAAAGAGGGCAAATCAGATGGGATTTGAGCACTGTGTACGAGCAGCTGGTCAGCATGCTGTCTTTGTTGTGGTGGTTGAGGTGAGTTGTGTTTGCACTCCGCAGTCAGATTAGCAGTGATGATCACACCGCCTGCTGCATGCATGACTTCCAGCAGCTGACCTAATGCCTGCAGCCGGTCAGAGGAATGTCACGTTAGCTCGAGTGCTTCCAGTTTGATGCTCCAGCTCTGCATAGATTTCACCCTCCATTAGCGCCATGTGGCTGACGCACTTCATCTGGAGAGCTGGAGCCAGGATCAGTGAGCAAATGGCAGATGGAGCGAGGGAAGGATGTGTCACTGAGCTTCCTGAAGAGACCCACGTTGTTCCTCTTCTCATTGGTCTACTTGTCAGCTGTGACTGTGATGGAGGAAGGATGTTCTCTTCATCCTCTTTCATGTTAACTTATACACTGCTGATCACAAGTACTTTCTGTCACATACTTGCTGACATTCAGTAAATGTCTGAAGATAAGAAAGACCTTTTCCACGGATTCTGTGTTGTTTGACATCCTCGTGTCATGGGAGAACATGAAAAACTCAGACTGGGCAGGTTTTCTTTTACTGCAAAGTTTCCATTTATTCTGGAGCAGATGGATTTTATGAATCATATAAACACAATTTCTGTCTGGGCCATTCTGTGACCTTGTGGTTTAATATGTAGTAAGTGCATTCCTTGATCTTCCAATCTGGTATTTTTGTACACAAATTGAAAATACCATGTGTCACTTTCACCCAAAATGTTGTTTTTTTTTACTGTAGAAACAGATCCTCAGTTGACATCAATATATTCCAT